CAAAGTGCACAGGCTCTACGGCCTTTGTCCACGTAGCGTTTGTTTCTGGCCAAACAACCCCCCCCCCCCAGGCTCTTTGTTATAATGTTTATATGAAAACAATATCTCAATGTCATCAGAAACCACTGAAAGAAATGTTGGCACTCAGAAGAAGATGCTATCTGGACACAGGCCCAAAGAAGTTAGATTGGAGTTGCCATTTCATTTTGATATAATACATATACGTTTATATTCAGGGGTGCACACAACTTTCTCAGTGAGGTACTCAGATGAGTCAGTGTTTGGTACTCCAACTTCTGGCTCCCCTCAAAGTTCCCATGAAGCCCTCGGAATCGCGAATGTCAGCGGGGGGGTGGTAGTGGAGTGCAGAGCTTCGTGAACACAGAGCGTGTGAACGTTGTGATCAGCTGTTTTAGCGCTGTGCTGCTGTACAGACCGACGTTAACAGCTGCCCTGTCTGTGCACACGGAGACCGACTCTGTCGTCCGGTGATCTAACCGCCTTCTGGAAAAGCTTCACAAGTACGTCGGTACGCAAATGCGCTTTGTGACACAAGTGACGGTACGCATTTCAGATTGTTGCCGCGCATGCGTACCTGCGTACTACTTACGTGCACCCCTGTTTATATTTGATAAACCACCAACTCTATCAAATGGACCTTATGTGGTGAGAGAGCTGAACATATTGACTAACTCACCAACCAGCCGATCAACCAAACAATCAGCAAACTATTCAATCAACCAACCAACCATTCAACCAACCAACCATTCAACCAACCAACAAAACAACCAACAAACTATTCAATCAACCAAACAACCAATAAACCAACCAACCAACCAACCATTCAACCAACCAACAAAACAACCATCCAACCAACCAACCAACCAACTATTCAACCAACCAACTATTCAACCAACCAACAAAACAACCAACAAAACAACCAACAAACTATTCAATCAACCAAACAACCAATAAACCAACCAACCAAACAACCATCGAACAACCAACCAAGAAAACAACCCACCAACTATTCAACCAACCAAACAAACAACCAGCTGAACAACCAACCAACAAAACAACCAACAAACTATTCAATCAAACAACCAACCAACAAAACAACCAACAAACTATTCAATCAAACAACCAACCAACCAACCAACCAAGAAAACAACCAACCAAGAAAACAACCAACCAAGAAAACAACCAACCAACCAACCAACCAACTAACCAAACAACCAGCCGAACAACCAACCAACAAAACAACCAACTAACTATTCAACCAACTAACCAAACAACCAGCCGAACAACCAACCAACAAAACAACCAACAAACTATTCAATCAAACAACCAACCAACCAACCAACCAAGAAAACAACCAACCAAGAAAACAACCAACCAACCAACCAACCAACCAGCCGAACAACCAACCAACAAAACAACCAACTAACTATTCAACCAACTAACCAAACAACCAGCCGAACAACCAACCAACAAACTATTCAATCAACCAACAAACTATTCAATCAACCAACCAACAAAACAACCTACCAGCCAGCTAACTAGCTAAAACAACAACCAAACAACCATCTATACCCATCCAGCGATCCAACTAAAAAAGGTAAGACTCATTTCAAAAGGTTTAAAAACAATAATACTTGTTGCTTAATGGAGCAGCAGATCTTTCTGAGTGATGAAACATTTCCTTCCATTCAAATCAGTCACTTCCTCCTGTGAGTCCACTCTGTCATCACAGGGTGAAAGTGACACGTTTACAAAGAGAGGGGGAAGTGGAAAGAGAGAGGGGGGTCAGAGGTTGGCTGGCAAACAGGAAGAAGACCTGCAGCCTGCTTCCTGTTCATCAGCAGCGTTATCTCTTACACTATAAAAACACATCTAGTGCTTCAATATCCACATGCCAAGCTTCTGTGAGAGATACGTCTAAAACCTCATTGTTAATGTCTACTATACTTTAAATAAAAATTAAAGAAACACAATCATTGTTGGTATTAGTAATGGCATTGCTACAAAAAAACAAGTAGAAAATGTCCTTTTTTTAATAAAAACCTTTTTTCTGAAATGTTGTGATTTGTAAAAAAATACCTCAAAATGGTATCGATTGAGTAAATGTACTTTCAACCGCTGACTCGTTCACATGAATATTTAGTGTTATTTACACTTTTTATGAAGACGGTGCTACAGATGAGAGCAATGCTAAGGTCACCTTTTGGCCAAAATAAGGCCCCGCCCACTTTTAGGTGAAAATACTGCATTAGAGCGAAGCGATGTCTTAAAGCTGCCGAGTCATATTTTGCACCTCAAACAAATACATCCAGAGGTTTCTTTACTTCCTCTCCAGAAAAAAGGAAAATAATCTCAGTTTCAGCTGCTGCACCCACCGGACATCCATCCCATAATTATCTAAATCAAACCATAAATTGACGCCGATCATCGATCTCCAATAACACGGTTTAACAGTTGGCCTGTCCGACCATCATAACTTGAATGTAGTAACAAAAAGGCCCCGTTTTATACAGTTTCATGAGATGGAAACTTCAGAATCTGTTTCAAATGACAGCGAGTGTTTTCACTGAAAAGGGGGCGTGGTCTCGCGGAGAGGGAAAGTACCGGTTGCTCTCATTAATAGTTTAAAGTTACTTATTTTAATAAGAACATTTAGAGACAGTGCAGCTTCAGTGATTTCAAATAGGTCAAACCTCCAGGTGTCATCTCTCTTTTAAACACGTAGTTTGTCTCGTTAAAGAGCCAAACACGTATAAATAAAGTTCCTCCTGTATTCTCTGTCCGTGACCTCTGCTCTAAACACATCTGAACCATCATTAATGTCGCTCACTGGGAGTGGTCTGCTGAAATGCACCAAATACAAAAACGCCAATTTAAGCAGAAACAGCTGATTTCATCACAATCACTTCCCTTTTCTGATGGTGCATGTGGAACAATGGAAACCACACACACACACACACACACACACACACACACACACACACACACACACACACACACACACACACACACACACACACACACACACACACACACACACACACACACACACACACACACACGTGGCTTGTTGGCACCTGGTCACCCTAAAAACATTTAATTCAAGCGCATCATATTAACACTCCTCTCTTTCAGCGCTGTGTGGAGCTGCAGAAGCAGTGGGAGTGCTTGGCTGCAGACTTTGGATTGGATGACCTGATTGGCTCGTGCTCAGACTTCCTCAGAAATTCAATAGAACTGTTAAGTAATGCCAAAGGGACGACATGAAGAGATGATGCCAGAGAAAAGGATTTATTCAGAGGATGTTACTGTCTGTTAGTAAACAAAGGAGTCCCATGGAGGCGTTTCAGGCCGGGGCTGGGGGGGGGGAATTCCCTCTGAATTCATGATTGTGTATTCCGTAAATGTATAGGAATGTGTGGGAATATTGTATACAGATCTTGTACTTGAGTAAAAGTAGAAGTACTCAGATCTTGTACTTGAGTAAAAGTAGAAGTACTCAGATCTTGTACTTGAGTCAAAGTAGAAGTACTCAGATCTTGTACTTGAGTAAAAGTAAAAGTACTCAGATCTTGTACTTGAGTAAAAGTAGAAGTACTCAGATCTTGTACTTGAGTAAAAGTAGAAGTACTCAGATCTTGTACTTGAGTAAAAGTAGAAGTACTCAGATCTTGTACTTGAGTAAAAGTAGAAGTACTCAGATCTTGTACTTGAGTAAAAGTAGAAGTACTCAGATCTTGTACTTCAGTAAAAGTAGAA